ACGCTTTAACTGCTGAGCCACCAGGGCTCCTACTTCACCCCTTTGTTGTTGTTAGGTGCCGTGGAGTCAGTTCTGACTCATAGCTACACGGTGTACAAAAGAACGAAACACTGCCCGATCCTGTGCCACCGTCACTATCACGCTTGAGCCCGTTTTGTAGCCAGTGTGTCAATCCAGGAATCCCTAGTGGCGTAGTGGTTAAGAGCTACGGCTGCTAACCAAAAGGTCGGCAGTTTGAATCCACCAGGCGCTCCTTGAAAACTGTATGGGGCAGTTCTTCTGTGTCCTACAGGGTCTCTATGAGTCGGAATCAACTCAGCGGCAACAGGGTTGGTGTTTTTTGTTTTGTTTTGTTTTGTTTTTTGTTTTGGTTTTTTGGTTTTTGTGTCAGTCTACCTTGTTGAGGGTCTTCCTCTTTTTCACTGGCCCTCTACTTCACCAAGCATGATGTCCCTCTCCAGGGACTGGTCCCTCCTGATAACATGTCCAAAGTATGTAAGATGAAGTCTCGCCATCTTCAATTCTGAGGAGCATTCTGGCTGTATTACCTCCAAGACAGATTTGTTCATCCTCTGGCAGTCCATGGTATATTCAGTATTCTTCTGCAATACCATAACTCAAATATATCAATTCTTCTTCAGTTTTCCTTATTCATTGTCCAGCTTTCACATGCATATGAGGCAATTGAAAATAACCATGGCTTGGGTCAGGTGCATCTTAGTCCTCAAAGTGACATGTTTGCTTTTTAACACTGTAAGTAGATTTGCTCAGTGCAGTATGTTGTTTGATTTCTTGACTGCTGCTTCTGTGGGCGTTGATTGTGGATCCAAGTAAATGAAATCCTTGACAACTTCAGTATTTTCTCCATTTCTTATGCTGTTGCTTATTGGTCCAGTTGTGAGGGTTTTTGTTTTCTTTATGTTTAGGTGTAATCTATACTGAAGGCTGCAGTCTTTTATCTTCTTCAGTAAGTGCTTCAAGTCCTCGTCACTTTCAGCGAACAAGGTTGTGTCATCTGTGTATTGCAGGTTGTTAATGTGCCTTCCTCCAGTCCTGATGCCGCGTTCTTCATATAGTCCAGCTTCTCAGATAATTTGCTCAGCGTGCAAATTGACTAAGTATGGTGAAAATAGATGTTGTATATTAAGGGGAGATAATCTTTTTTGACTGTTGAAGCTATGAAGAAATTGTCCAACAGAAATCACAAAGGTTATTTTAAAGCAGTATTCACTATAAAATTGATAAACAAAAATTTGATTTTACAATTTTGAAAAAATGAATTAAAGCATAAGTAAGGGAAGATCTTTCTACAGAACACTATTCACAAGAAAGAGAATATAAATGTTAACTAAGCATATGGAAAACTCTTCACCTTCTCTAATAATAAAAGGTGTACATTGGCTACCCTATATTGGGCACTTAACATGCCCCAGGAGCCCTGGTGGTACAGTGGTTAAGAGCTTGGCTGCTGACCAGAAGGTCAGCAGTTCAGATACACAGCCGTTCCTTACAAACCCTATGGGGCTGTTCTACTCTGTCCTGTAGGGTCGCTATGAGTTGGAATCAAGTCAGCAGCAATGGGTTTGATTTTTTTTTTAAATATGTCCCAGGCATTTTATCTTAATATTAATCCCATATGGGAGACATATAGTACCCATTTACAGATAATAAAACTGTTGCTAAGAGAGAATAATTTATCCCAGGTCATAAAGCTTACAAATTGTGGAGCCAACATTCAAATCCAGGGCCCTCCTGATTACAAAGTTCATGGTCTTAACCACTGTACTACTGATACATTGCCTATAAAAATCAAAACACCTTAGGGGTCTGTTTCACATCTGTAAAATTAATTTTCATTATGCTTCATTTAGAAAAATAAGATAGCTGGAAAATTCTGAAAAAGAAGAATAGTGAAGGGAGAATTGCCTTTCTAGATAATAACTGTTTAAAGCACATGAAATACTGGCACAGGAGACACTTGAGTTGAGCAGGAAAAAAAGAAGCTTGGAATCACTCCAAGTGCAAAGAGAATTTTACTGTAGGATAAAGGGGGCATTTTTAATCATGGAGGGAGTGAATTATTTTATACATGACATTTGGACAGGTGGTTTGTCATTTGGGGAAGATACACCCCCCCAAAAAATTTCAGATGTTAAACCAACTATAATAATAGTAGGAAAAAAAACAAGCTGAATTTTTTTTCATAATCTTGAGGGGTGATGGGGTAATAAGTGAAGTATTCTTTTTTTGTCAGACTAATAATCTCAGATATTGGCATGTTCTGGGCACACCTCTAACCACCTCTCATTTAGACCAAGTGGCAGAAAGAACTAGTGAAACAAAACTAACAAATTCTTGAATGTGCATTCCAAAGGCCTCACTAAGAGTGACACAGGACAGATTTGCAAGAGGATATAAAAAGATAAACCATTCATCTCACATGTTCAGCCTTACACAAAAATGATAGATTAAGGGCTCTGAGCTGGGAACTAAATGCAAGCTAACAGTAATGTGCCTTGGGGAGTGGAGGGGGGTAGGTCAAAGAAAATTTCCCTTGTTGTTGGAGGGTATCTCAGAGTAGGAAAAGCATACATATGACTAACTTCCCAGCTGGCATTTTGAAGGAGGCTCACAGAAGCACCCTGTGTCAGTGTACATTAAGGACCAGTGGATTTGGCAACAAAGTATACGTCAGTATGAGAGGATACAGTTAGTCATTCCATTCTTTCCCTCCACATGTTTCCCCCTTCCCCACATACACAGGCTTAGTTTCCACCAGCTTTCAGGAGCCATTAGGCAGCCTGAGGGCTTAGAATCAAAGATCAAATTGAGTTATAAAAAAGAAAGTATTTTTTTTTAACACATCCTAGTTGCGACTATACAGTGTATACCTGTATAACACAACAAAACCATAAAGGAAAAGATTGATAAATTTGACTAATAGAATTTTCCTGCATTGAAAAAAATGCCCTAAACATACTGTAAATAGTATTTTTTAAAAACTGCAGAAGATATTTGTAAAATTTATTACATGAGGCTAATTTCCTTAATTTTAGAAAGGAAGGAATCCAAGTACTTAAATATTAATGAGAAAAAGAAAAGCAGCAGTTTTGAAAATGAACAAGAAAGAGCAGCAGCATTGGGGGGAGGAAAACTTAATCTTCATTTTGTAAATAAATTCGCCTTAAAATAACAAGATGTGAGAAGATTTTAAAATTCAGAAGGTTTTGTTGAGAAGATACTCCCAGAAATGATGGGAATATACGTTGTTGCATTCTCTTCCTCACCCTTTGAGCACTTCCATTTGTAGTTGTCCTACAGATATTTTCACAAATCTACAAAGATGTCCGTGTACATATATATATACATAGTGAGGGTGGTTTTTGCAGCATTTGGGAAGGGGATGGGCATTTAGGTTTCCAAGTTTTTTTTCCCCTATCTGTTAGTGTCTGGTAAAATAAATTATGCTACATGCCTGTTGTGACATACAATGCAGCTATGAGAGTATAGTAGAAATGACGTTATGGAAAGATCTCCAGGATAGATCACGTGAACCAAAGCTAGCAGTAAAGTTCTGCATGTTGTAGCCTATCTGTGAATTAAACAAAAACTTGTGTATATGTTTATGTATAAAAATGTTTGGAAGAATATGTACATAATTAACAGAGGCTGCCTGTGAGGACTGGAACTTTTTCATGTTCATACTGTTTGAATATTTTTAAATCACGAATTTATATATTTTTTTAAATTAGCTTAAATTTAATAAACTGTATATCAAAATTCAGTGTTGCTAAGGCTGGGTGAGAACAGGCACTTTTATGGTAACGGGTGGTATCACAAACTGGTAAAATATTCCTGGGTGATGACTAAACCAAAGTTAATTTTGAGCACCTGTTATATGCCAGGCATTACACTAAACATTTTATACACATTTATCTTAAATCTCTGACCAGCCCTATAAAGTAGATTCCATTGTTCCATTAGTGGAGGAAACAGATTGAGAATAGTGAAACAGCATGCCAGAAGTCACATCACTGTGTCGGAGTTGCTTTCTAATCCAGACAGCCTGAGTATTCTACTGCTGTTCAGAAAGGGTTCTGGAAATTCGTAAGAAAAGCTGTTGTTACTTGAGTCAAAAGACCAGGGTCACATCATACCAAAACCTTTCGGACACAGCAAAGGCAGTTCTCAGAGGACAATTTATAGCAATAGATGCACATATCAAAAAAGAAGAAAGGGACAAAATCAAAACATTAACTACA